CGCTTGCCCTTGCCCTTGCCGGGCCCCGGGCTCGAGTCGCCCGCGCCCCCGGGGTGCTGCTGCTGCTGCTGCTGCTGCTGCTTGTGGCCGCCGCTCTTGGCGCCGCCTTTGCCGCGCAGCGACGCGCTCTGCTGGCCGCCGCCGCCGCCGCGGTGGTTGTGGTGGTGCTTGGGGTCCTCCGTGTCCCGGTTGTGCAGGCGGATGAGCCCGATTTTACGGAGCAGCGTGGCCATTTTAGGCTCGGCGCCGGCTGGGGGCTTCCCTGGACTCCTGCCCCCGGAGCCCGCGAGCCGGGACGCGGGGGTCGCGGGGCGGCGGCTACCGGCGACCACTCAGTGGGGTGCGGCGCGGGTCACCCCAGGCGCCGGCGGCCTTGGTGCAGCGGAGCGGGCGGCACGGGGGCTCGCAGGCTGCTGTGTCGCCGCTGTCATATGACGGGGCCCGCTCGGGCTCTGGCTCTGGCCGCCTAGGGAGGTGTGGAGGAGGCGCGGCGCCGCTAGCCGTCCCTGGGCCGGTCGCTGGACGCAGCCCTCGGATTCCCAGTGTCCACGGTCCTTTGTGCGCGGCCGCAGCGCGGCTGGCCCCGAGTCCAGCGCCGCGCCGGGGCGCGCAGAGTCGCCCGCAGCGCCCCGGAGGCAGCGGGATGGCCGTGGGCTCCGACCGTGAGCGTCTGCCCGGCTGTGCCGCTCTGGCGGCTACCGCGGGGCCCGGGCCACTGCCGCTCGTGTCGCCGCCGCCGCCGCCGCTGCGGCTGCTGACATTGCAGAGGCGGCTGCTCCGTCTGAGGCGAGCGCGGCGCGGAGGGGGCGGCACTGCCGGCCGCGGGGGGGGGGGGCGCGGGGCGGAGCCGCGGGCTTGCCTGCGCCGTGCCACCCCCGCCGCCCGGCTCCCGCGGCGACAAGCGCTCGGCCGCTGGGGGGAGACAGCGGTGCGCGCCCGGCCCGCCGGACTCCGGCTCGGGGAGAGCGGTGCGGTGGGCTCGCAGCCCGAAGCCCGCAGGGGCCGCGAGGGAGGGGCTCGCGGGGAGGGGACTGTCTGCGCACGCTCAAGGGGTCTCCGAGGCCACGGGTCGGTCTGTGCCAAATCCGGGATCGCTGTGGACCCCAGCCCGAGCCGCAGGCCCCATTTAACCTCCTTACAGCAGCCCAGAGGGGAAGGGCCGAAAGCAACCTGCTTATTGATTCCTTTAGATGGAGACCAGTGTTCCCGCATAGCAGGTTTGGGCGGTCGGGGCCAGAAACCCGCGGCGGGACACTTTTCATAAGGATTCTTCAAAGAATCAGGGTTACCGGGGGCGCGATGCCAGCCGCAAACCTCCTGAAGAACAGACCCTGGAGTCACGACTCCGGTAAAGGTGGACGTTTCGCCAACTCACTCCCCCTCCTTGGCCCGCTCCACTCCTCCTGCCTGAGGTTGAGTGTTCCGTGGCAGGTCTCCGGAGGAAGGGACCGTCAAGCAGTGTGCCCAGTGGCTCGTTTTCAGCTGCGGAGAAGCACATCAGACCCCCGGAGGCGCGAGCAGCCGGGTCTGCGCCCCGGAGTGCAGTACTCGCGGCTGACCTTATGACCGCTGGAGGAGCGGGAGTTCTGCCTTCGACCTGAGCCTCTGGGTCCTCCCTTTCCTCTCTTTCATTAACCCGCTGAAAATCTTATTTTTAATCTGGTGAAATAAAACAAGTGAGTTCAGACCCCCAGAAGCTGGAAGGTCCTGAGAATTCTGGCACATTCAAGGTTGTGCGTGGCCCTTTCACTGTGCAAGGGTGAAATCTAGGACACACAGGAAACATTATCATGAACCTAAAACTGAAATGTCTTAAATTCTAGCCCCCACCCCTTAGGAGGTTTGGCTTTTAATTTCGGGAGACTCTTAAGTTTCATCTGGAAAGTGTGTTGACTTTTTGTATTTGATATCTTTTTCCATTTTCATTTTTTCCAAGTCATTAGAAAAATTCACTGTAAAAAACACTGCTTTGGGCCTAGAGAATGTGGGGTCCTGTCTCTTGGGGATGTCTAACAGGAGAGAGTTGAACTTGTGGTGAAGGAGAGGGAGTGACTAGGAGACAGGTGCATCCCTTGTTGTTCAGATGGTGTGACTGAAGGCAGTGTGGTAACACAGCTGACCTGAGGGGCAGTGGACTCTCACCTGAAGCAGACCCAGGGTCTGTGTGTCCTGATCTCAGGGGGTTTTCTTTTTGTTTTGTGACCTTATCCTATGCAATGTGTATGTGTAATTTAAGGTAGGGCAAGAGGGAAGATGACAGTGTCTACTTGCAAAGTCCTATGAGTTCATTGGACATAAGGAAAGGGCATAAGACAAGGTTGAAAGCTGATATCGAAGGAGAAGCAGTCACTCCATGTTTTATTATTTAACTTCCATGGAAGCCCTCTCAGGTTTTATCAGATTCATCTTATTGGTGAAGAAACTGAATTTCAAAGAGGCCTTGCAGCTGGCCCAGCTCAGCCATGTGCTCAGAAGGAAGGCTCAGATGGACCTGCACATGGGGACCCTCTGCCTCCAGGCCCTGTACTTGCTGTTGATCAACTGCCCTACCAGCTGCTGGGCCTCAGATCCAGCGAGGTTTAGGGGTTAGGGTTAGGGTTAGGACTTGTAAGAGGTGGGGCCTAGTGGGAGGTCAGTACTGGCCCTCCCTGCTCTTTGGCTTTCTGTCTTCCCATGCAGTCTCTTCTTCCTTCCACCAGGAGCTACCTGCCATGATATGCCACATCTGAGGAGCTCTCAGAAAAGCGGGTGCCATGCTATCTGTACTTTCAGCCTCCCAAACTGTGAGCCAAACAAACCACATTTCTTTACAAATTACCCAGCTTCAGATATTTCATTGTAGCAATAGAAAACAGGCTAATAACAGTGATTGTATAACTTCTTTCTGGTTGTAAATATTGTTTGAAAGTGAAAGGAGCATGATTAATTCTGATGCTGAGATAAGAGGTGCAATCAGGACAGGTTGACCCAGGGGGATGGTGGCATCTCACAGGTTATCTTTCTGTCTAAAACATAGACTCCTGGATCAACTCTTTAAAGGGCTAAAGCCAAATGTTAAAAATGAGAAACAACCAACGTTTAAACAATAGTCAAAGTGTCAAGAAAATTATACCTAGTCCACTTAAAAGTATATTATACAGCAACAATATTATAGTTATGAAGATTACATGGAACATAGAAATATTTATGATCTACTTGATTTTAAATGAGAAAGCAGAGTGCAAGATCGTACCCCGATGTTGCTACCATTATATAAAACTATGGTAAAAGTAAGGAAAAGTCTAGAAGGAAAATATTTTGATTGGTAACTCTTGTTACATTAAAATAGTGGGTTATTCTCAGCTGGTTCCCTCCTCTGTCCTCTCCAGCACATGAATCCAAATGTCACTTCACCTGCAGGAGAGTCAGGGTGGGCAGAAGACCTATATGGTCCATAAGTTCTCCTTTTCCTTTCTCAGAAGATCACAGAAAGTTCTGTCTCACCAGAGGAATGAACAGATATGTACCTGGACCCACAGTGTGACAGATTATCTTTTGTTGTTACAATTATTCCTTTTTACTTGATTTTCAAACATTTGTAAAAGGAATGTGTTGCAGTTGCGATTAAAAAAAGTTACATTAAAGATTAAGTTAACAACTTTGGGGTAGTTGAATACAGTGCATTTAGTTAAAAAAAAAAATAATCTCTAAGGACAACTACGGGTTTCAACTAGGGGTTGGGGGAAAAATGGTTAGGGAATCTGCAGCCAGAGCCTACACCAATCAAACAAGAAAAGAAGGAAGGGAGGTAGGAAGGGAAGAAGGGAGGTGTTTACAATAGGTGGTCACTTGAGCCTTGAGTTGCACCTGCCAAAGGCTTCTCCCAAGAGCATTTAATCAGTGTTCCCAGGTACTAGCTCTCTCCAGCTGCAGTTTTGATAAAAAGGCAGAACTAGTGTTTTTCCACGTACTTTGCCTCAAAGGAACATCTCCCCATTATTTTGGTTCATCCTGTTTCCAATGAGCACCAATCTCATAAGGTCACCATTCCACCATTCCACCTCAAAATATCTGTCCCAGAGCTGGGAAGGGTGGTACACACCAATAATCTCAGTAACTCTGAAAGTAGAGGCAAGAGGGTTGCCAATTTGAGGCCAGCCTAGGCAACTTAGTGCGAACCCCAGTCAAAGTTGAACCTGTCTCAAAAAAAAAAAAAAAAAAGGTTAGGCATATATATATAGATCAATGGTAAAGTGCCCCTGGGTTCAATCCCCAGTACCAAAAATAAAACAAGTAAATAAATAAATTTGCCCAATTTGTATAAGAAAATATCTGACCAAAATTCATGCACATAGTTTGTTTTCTTGAAGTAGATTGTTAAGGTCACTGTCGATGTTGAAAAACATTGTCTGTGTGGATCTGTGTCATTACAAGGTCACAGGACACATTAAACCACTCATTTCTCCATCAGCAAAGCCTATGACTGGAAGGCACATTCCATATCTGAAGTGCCATCCACACAGATCTGTTTATCTTCATGACAATAGTATTAAGTAAGTCCTGTGTCTTTCCCTTCCTTATAATTCTGTAAACCAAAGCACAGAGAAATTAAGCA